CAACATGTAAATACCTGAAACCGCAATGAAAATGGTAGTTATTGATAAACGAAGTAAGACATTGAGATTAAAGGTGTCTTCGATATTTTTGGCCAGTATTATCAGTTTGTAATGTCTTCTGATCCAAGATCCCAATATGTTACGATAATGATTTCTCTCGTTGGAACTTTTACCAAAGAGTTCAATAAAGCGAATTCTCAGGAGTTTTAATTGACCACAGAGGTGCATAGTAATAACAAAAAAGAAGCAATCGCTTGAACATTCGGCCGTATACAATATAAAGGCCTGCAATACTTGTATGAGAAAAAGTGCTTTGTATATAGAATATGAAACCCCTCGAAATAGGCATGTTGACGGAATAGCGAAATTCCATAAAGCTTCTGTGTTATTGCCAATAATTACGACCTATTAAAATATCTCAAGATGTGTTATACAATTTTACATTTATAAAAGACAAACGACAAGTGTATATTAAACGTATAATAAACATGTAACAAATTAAAATGCGAAATTTATAAGAAATGTTTATATTAATAATAACACTTTTTCAGAATTTTATTCTTTATTGATTAATTTAACTTTTTAATATTTTATTTATGATAATAAGTATATAGTATTTTCTACTGATACAGATAAATTTATATAAATTTTCTTATTACAATCATTATATTGTGTAATATGATGACAATACGGTATAAAATAATTAAGATAACTATCTGTCACAAATAAAACGTCACCTGTTGTCTATTTCCAAAAAAAATAGTGGGAAAATATACGACAGCGGCTATAAATCCAATCATTAATTGAGACATAGTGATTATTCGACCTATTCGTGCATATCCCGTCATTATTAAATAAGATTGCTTTTCTATTGACGAAGTCGACCAATCGTCAATCGCAGATGTTACGTTGACAGCAATCTTTTTCATGTAAATGCGCGCGAAAACGATATTTATCCACGAGTGTAAGTGCGCCTCCATTACAAGAAAAACCTCCAGAGCGTCTTTGGTGTCACCGCAGTTTATAAAAAGTTCTATCAGCAAGCAGATCATTGCGAGAGACTATATAATAGCAAAGATTCATTTTATGGAACATGAATTAGGTTGTACATAATAAATAAAAATAAATATGTTAAACAAGGACTCACTCTCCTTAAAATAACAAAAACAAAATTAATGTGGGCTAATGAGAGTCAGTGCAAGAGAAGGTGCGCAATAAAATTTTAACAATTAAATTTGTTACTCCATTTGATGTCTTGTTTATTTAAAATCTTGAGAAATCTTGAACGTTTCGATTCTCTTTGGAATCTTCATAATCCATATTCTTAATCCATATTAGATTTCGCGAACGGTCAAGGTAAAGTTACTCACAGGTTGCCAAAACTGTAATGTAATCCACACGATCGCTAAATCTTATCATAAAATGACATTAATATTCACAAATAATCACTTTTTGATAAATTTTATGTGGAATTGATCGAACTCCGTCTAAGCCATCCGGAGTGACGAATAGGTTTGAGTGACTCTACCTTGACCATTCGCGAAATCTAATATGGATTAAGAATATTGCTGATGAAGATTCCAAAGAGAATTGAAACGTTCAAGATTTTAAATAAAGAAGACATCAAATGGAGTACTAAATTTATTTGTTAAAATTTTATTACGCACCTCCTCTCGCGCTGACTCTCATTAGCCCAGATTAATTTTGTTTTTGTTATTGTATATAATTGTTGATAATAGAAATAAGTTTATATTAGACATTAAATTAATCAAAAGTTTTATGATTTTTTAAAAACATTAATTACATCTGAAATCCCTCAAAATTAAAATTATCAATTAAAAGATCGTTATTAATTAAATTATAATTATAGTAACTTTAAGTAAAAAATTTGTATACATTATAGACAATATAGACATTTGCATTTATCGCTACATCCTACACTTAAGAAAGGAAATATTTTTATATAATGTCTTATCTTACCTGCTCAATGAATATGATAATCCAACGGAATGTACATATTATATCGTCCTGATGCAAAGGCCATACACCGACTATCCACATTACCGTCCTTATCATCGAAAAGCCATAGTCCATACCACTGTTCCAATTTGTCTTCATACCCGGCGATGTGCTAGTTTCAACCGCAAGAAAATTGTGGCGATGTCATACATAAAATGTTGTTCAATTTATGCAATGTACAGCTCCGAAAGGAATTACTATAGTCAGACGTATCACTTGTTCATCGATCGGTTCTTATGGTGGTAAGATAAGTATGGCACTGTAATTTCTGTGATCATACATTTTTGTAACATTCACGTTTTTCCGTAATATGCACTATATCTATGATAATTTTGCCATTCCGATACTTTTGAATGGTCACAATTTTAACAATGACATTTCGCGTTGAACTTACAGCGTTTGTTTGACATAACGGTCAATAACAAATGTGCGACAAGTACAGATGGTAAGATAAATTTCAATTTTTTTAGCGATTTCGGCTGGGATGCGCTAGTGCACACTGGTGTATATAAAGACCGTTGTACAATGAATAGCGATTTTGGCTGGGATGCACTAGTGCACATAAAGCTATCATACACAATTGCCGTAAAAATGTATTAAAAACAGATTAAATCGTACAATCCCCAATATATTTTATTGTACTGTTAATAAAACATGTATTTGATAATTTCCATTTCGATTTTGCACTCATAATAATTTCGGCTGGGACGACTGCATATTTCGGATGTCGATGCAACTGGTGTGTTCGGCTGGTTGAATGATGCAGTTTCTTGCCAGTGTCACATGTTCATCTGGACTCGGTACACCACACAAATTTACACAAAGTAGTCCCGACAAATTTGTTGGAGCCAGTTGGTGTAACTGTTTGGCTTGGTGCTTTCATGAGACGCTGAAAAGCAGCATGTGTGGTATTAATTTTGTCGCTAGTGTCTGATTTTGGGTGCGGTCTACTTGATGCTACAAATCCTCCGAAACTTTTGCTTGACCAATCGGAAAAAAGAATTTTACCTGAGCAATCAAAAAATGCTTCGAAGCATTCATAGCATCAAGTGGACCGTAGCCGGGCATAGCCTTCGTCTGACGTTGAAAATTGATATATCCAACTTGTAGTGTCAATTTACGATTTCCAATTACCAACTCATTGTAGAATCAGCTTTACAGCAAGTTTTAGGTTAGGAATATAAATCTCTAATACCGAATGCGTATTAAATGTTAAACTATATCTATTAATTTAATATTTACGTTTTTATTACGTATTTATATATTTATTCGTACTACTCGAAAACGAAGCCATCACAATAAAATTTGTATAAATTGTCACGTTATTCTTTTTCTTCTTCGTTATTGGTTGGCCCTGGTTCCCGTGATCGGGGTAAACGTGACTAATTGTATCCCAAAAAAGGAAGTGAAAATCGGTCACCTCAAACTCGAGATTTCTCGAAAATCGTGAATAATGCAAACAGTCGAAAATAGCGAATGGAGGTTTTGGAAACTTCTTAATTCTCTTTAATACTAGGATCACCTGACATAGCATACCCACGTTTAAATATATAATATAAGATTTTGACTAGTATCCCCCTTTTTAACCCTTTTTAACCCTATTTTAAGAAATTTTATATATTCAGGTACTGGGGCAGGATAAACTTTTTATCCTCCACTTATATCTAATATTTTCCACAGGGGCCCCTCAATTGACTTAACTATAATTTTTTCTCTCCATATTACAGGAATATCTTCTATTATAGGAGCAATTAATTTTATCTCCACAATTTTAAATATACATAAAAAAATTATATCTATAGATAAAATCCTATTATTAGTTTGATCAATTTTAATTACCGCCATTCTTCTTTCTCTCCCAGTACTCGCCGGAGCAATTACCATGCATTATTACTAACAGATCAAAATCTAAATACATCATTCTTTGATCCATCTGGAGGTGGAGATTCTATTTTATACCAACATTTATTTTGATTTTTCAGACACTCTGAAGTTTATATCGGAGTATATAAGGGTAGCGAAACTACCCTTCTTCTTCTCTTTCTGGCCGATGGATTTCCAATTTCTTGTGAAATCACAGTACCGCGCTTTCAAGTAAAGATCGCTGGGCTGAAAGGAGCCAGTCAGACCAACGCATTATTTTAATAAAATTACTCTTCAAATGCTGAGCGTCTGTGACCATGATACCACGTGACCAGTATTATAGATCGGTAATCACGAAATTCGCATTTCGTGAATCTCGTGTTCGCCTGACGAAACATACTCGTACATTGCCGCGGTGGTAGGAATTAACAGTATACAACGGTCTTGGTATGCACCAGTGCACGTTGGTGTTCCCAGCCGAAATCGCTATAATAAGCTACATTTAATTACATATTCTTTTTTTTTCTTTCATGTATGATCGATGTATAATATTACTTTTTTGAAATTTGTATTATCTGGTTAAATAAATGATACCTATGACGATGCAATCATAGTTAAAACCTTTAATGGAAAACTTTTCCTTTTTTTTTAAGTCTAAATTTTTCTGCTCACTAAAAATGTTTATGTGTGGTTGTAATGCTTCCATTTGTCCAATAACATTAATTATTTTATTGATGTAATTATTCTTGGTAATAACAATTATATAATAGTAAAAAATATATTTTATTTAATATTTTTATTTATTTATCATATATTACATTTTAGAAAGATGTTCATATATAGTAGAAGTAAATTAAACAGTAAAAAAAGAAACTTAAATTTTTTCGATATTTTTCGATGTTTGCAAATTATTACAATAATAATAATGTGTGTAATAGATTTGTTCAAGTTTTTATGCAGAACAAAAATGTTTAAGAATTAAAAATAAAATACAAATATGATTAGAGAAACTGCAATATACTGAAATATATATAAATATATTCTGTTTTATATATTTACACACCATTATCTACATGCAATACAATATAATAAACAAATAATTTTATATAATAACTGGACTATTCTTCCATTGTTACTCGTAAAAACGATATGTAAGTCAAAGCAGTTTTTAGAATATCTGTCGTAGTCCTTCGAGTAACATAAAAAAACTTTCCAGCAGTAAGCTGAAAAGGGATCTTCGTCCTCATCATAATAAGTATGAAATCCTTTATTATAGAGGGCGGCATGTTATGCCACGTTGTGCTATATATAGCCGAAAAAATCGATTCGCTTTGTTTCCGTAAAGTTTCACCGGCATGCGTAAACAAAAATGATTGTACAATAAACAACTGGGCGGATAACATACTCTTTAATACATTAGTATAATCGTGATTCTTAATGGACATAATTATACGCATTCCTGAAAAGGACATTTTTCTGTTTTTTTCTGAATGCCTAATTTCCTGTGTATTTACAAGAGAATCTCCCAAAATATCAAATTCTGATTTTAATATTTAATGAAACTTTGTATACATATAAATCATCGTCAGTAATATTTTTGGAAATTGGGGGGCTGAAGGAAAATGGTGGGAGATGATAAAAAGGATGTTAGGAAAAAAAGTATGTGGGCGAATGGCTACGTTTACACCGTGCATTTAAGCTGCAGCCTATATAATAGATGTCCTTGTTTATCCTGTATAAATTAAACAAAAACACCTACCGTATTGGTCGCGAACTAAGCGTATGGTGTAAACGTGGCTAATGAAAGAAGGGATAAAAATGTGAAAGAGAGGGGAGAGAGAGAGGGGGGAGAGGGGGGAGAGGGGGAGAGAGAGAGAGAGAGAGAGAGAGAGAGAGAGAGAGAGAGAGAGAATGATACGATAGGGTATACTGTCACATGTTAACAGGATAGAATTCACTCAATGATTAAGTTTAAAATGGAACTTGCGACAGAGTCCATATTGTAGGGGCAGCCCGGGCAAAATGTCCGCATAAAAATATACTACTAGTGTATAAGTAAATTCGACAAGTGGTGTCACTAATAATGTAATAGTGATGGGAAAAATTTCATTAAAATTTCAGTGAAATTTTAATGAAATTTTTTTATCGAATTTACTTATTGCACTAATGACACTAGTAGTATATTTTTATGCGGGTGGACGCCCTGGGTAAAGCGAATACCTTTTATTTTCGCTTATCTATCTGAGATTCTAGCAGTTGAAGAAATGACCGACTATGAGTCTCTAGCAGTTGAAGGAATGATCGACTAGCGACGCTATGAAAGTACGAAACGACATATGATTGCGTTCGTTTGTGTTTAATAGAGACATATAAAAAATTGAGTGTTTTCTTGCGATTTTTCCTTAGGTACGCAGCTTAATTATTATCTGTAATTGTTGCTTAACACCAGTGTGAATGATTTTTTTAATAAGAATTCTGTGTCTTTAAACGTAAATTCGAGGTTAAAATTTTTCACTTGGTGCTTCAACTTATTCTAACCTTTCCAAATTCGCGCCAGGCAGGTCTTTGGGCAAAGCGGATAGAGGCAAGCGGATAATCCATCCTCTTTACTCGATATTAGAGCACTAGAAACGTAGGTATATATTCGCGTCCACCATTTTTATTCCTTTCCCCACTCATGGCTCTATTCCCGTTACTCACTGAATCAGTGACTGTGACGGGTTATGGTCATTACAGGTTATGATTTGTATTTGTTGCTTGAAATTTTGTACCTCCTTCCATTCCTACAAGGTTTCCAACAGCTTAGAAGCTATAACCTATAACAACCGTAACGACGATAACCTTCTCAGCCAGCGGCGGAGTGGAGAAAGGAGCAAAAATGACGGATATGCGAATACTCACGTTTATAGTGCCTTACTCGGTATACGATTACAAAGAAAATACTCTGGGAATACGGAGGGACAGACGACCTTTCGAGTGTACGAAAGGCACGTGTTTGTTTACATCTCATTTTTGTTTATTTTTTGCCACAGTGCAGTATGATGATTTGTTTATGACTGATCCAGTGCAACCATTGTACCAAATGGGCCAAATGAAGGCTGCACTACATATAGGATTTGGTAGCTATTTTTGTGACCAAGGCAGTGTTCCAAAATTGACTACCAGTACTGAAAATCTATAGTGCATATAACGTAAACTATAGCATTTTTAATGCTGGCAATAAATTTGGAACACGGCCCAAGACTGATTCTAATTTTTTAAATTTCATTTGCATTGCTCGAGTGATCCAATCGCTTTGCTCAGAGGGGTCGGGCAAAGCGGATGGTTTCTCTTTTTTACGTTTTGACTAAAATGACATATTAATGTTAAAGATTTAAATTTTTTATATTTTTTTTTTATTTCAAAGTTAAGTCCTTTAAGAGATTTATGAGAATAAAAATGGTTTCTAATCTCAATTTTAATTGTGTCATTTTTTCTTCTCAACCTTAACACGTCCACGCTACTCGAGCTTCGCCTATGTGTGGGTATGACATGGCGAGCGATAAGAGTGAATTAAGTTTTTGATTAAGTTTTAATTAATAGTCAGAATAAGTCCTTGCAATTTTTGTATTGTTCACGGAGGTGTTTGTTAAGATATTTGTATTGTATCCCCAATACCGAGGGGAATCAATAAACCATTACTACTACTATTATTATAATAATAATTAGTTTTAACGAATGAAAATTTCCCTTATACGTAAAGTAATTTTCAACTTTTTTTCGTTATATTTCAAAAACCATTCAAAATAATATTTTTAAAGCTTCCACAAGAATATAATTTTCTATATAGAAATTATGTGTTTCGCGGATTGTCTCCGTGTCCATGTCCATTCTTGGAATGCCAATATTTCGTAAACTTTACAGTTCATTTCATCAGGACAAGAAGCAGTCTGATAGAATATTGTATTAAACTGTTTCTCGTCTTGATGAAGTGAACTGAAACGTTCATGAAACATTAGCATCCCAAGAATAAATGTGGACACAGAGATAACTTGCGAAACTGTAAATATTTTATGTAGAAAATATTTTATGTAAAAAAGGTTTAAAATAATTCACTTTTTTATCTACGTCAATGATATTCTAAAAAAATAATTTAAAACTGTTTCAAATATAAGAGGTGATTTCATCTTTTGAAAGTTGAATAGCCGCAACTGATATTTTTTTTCTGATAAATTCATCTATTCACGTAATCAACATATTTACATTTAATAAAAATAAAAATTTGACAATTTTTGAAAGATTCTCTTGTTATATACAAATGATATTTTATTTCGGTATATATTGATACTAGATATTTTTCGTACAATTCTTTCTCAACACTTCTTATTCATTTCAAGATAATTCATTATAAATATATGATAACTTTGGTTAATTTTAACATTAATCAAATTTTTGTAAATATATTTTTATAAAAAAATTGTTAATACTGCAGTTTAATAAATTATAAAAAATTTTTAGCAACAAGCAAAATTAAATATTACGATTACGATATATACAAATACCTGAAACAGCAATAACAATGGTAGTTATTGTTAAACGAAATAAAATAATGAGATTAAAGGTGTCTTCGATATTTCTGGTCAGTATTATCAATTTGTAATGTCTTCTGACCCAAGATCCTAATACGTTGCGATAATGTGTTCTCTCATCGGTATTTTTTTCAACAAGTTCAACAAAGCGAATTCTCAAGAGCTCTAGTTGACCACAAAGATGCATGGTAATAGCAAAGAAGAAATTATCATTTGCACATTGTCCTATATAGACTATAGATACTTGTAATATTTGCATGAGAAAAAGTGTTTTGTATGTAGAATATGAAATCCCTCTGAATAGACATGATGATGGAATGATAAAATTCCACAAAGTTACTGTCTCATTACCGATAGTTACGACCTATAAAAATATTTCAAGATGTGTTATATAATTTTACAATTATAAAAAACAAATGATAAATGTATAATAAACATATAATAAATACATGATAAACAAATTAAAACGATTTATTTATAAAAAAATGTTATGTTAGTAACACTAAGTTAGCAACACTCTCTTATAATTTTATTCCTTAGTAATTATTTTTTAAATATATTATTTAGGCTAATTATAAAATTTTTACAAATACAAGGGAATTGTATAGATTATTATTATAATTATTACTATGTTGTTCAGTATAATTACAGCATAATATAATTGAAATATAATAAATATTATAAAGAAAACATTACCTGTTGCTTATTTATGACGATAGCGATAAGATATACGCTAATAGCAACAAATCCAATTATTAACTGAGTCACAGCGATTATTCGACTTATTCGTGCATATCCCGTCATTATTAAATAAGACTGTTTCTCCCTCGACGAAAACGACCAATCGTCAATTGCAGATGTCACGTTGACGGCAATCTTTTTCATATAAATACGCGCTAAAACGACATTTATCCATGAGTGAACGTAGAACTCTATATTAATAAAAGCTTCCAGAACGTCCTTGGTATCACCGCAGTTTTGGAAAGATTCTATCAGCGTGCAGATCACTGTGAGAGACTATACGATATCAAAGGGGTTCAACTGTTTCATAAATAAATATAAATTAATTTTCATAAAATTTTTGATAATAAAAATAAACTATAAAATATAGATTAGAATTGATTAAAAGTTTCATAATTTTTCTTAAAAAATCTAATTATCCTTAAAATTCCTTTTTTAAATTAGTTGCAAAAACTTATTATTACTTAACATACACTTTAACTGCCATGTGTATTCAATTGGATGCACACCTATGTAGATCCAGGACTCCGCGTGTATCAATTTGAATACACATACATTTCCAACTTACTATCATTTAAATAAAGAATCGAAAATATTTTTTGCACTGATTTTATATGTACATATTGTAAGTATATATTGTGAATTCTGAAGAGGTTTGTTAACTTATTGTTAGACGAAGATTTTTTGGTAATTATTCGGATTAACGGAATCCGCGCCGATGATTTTGATCTTGACATATGTTGTCAAGGACATGACCCTAAGTGACCTTCAAAAGGTTTTAGGTAGTGGTCACTGTTCGTTTAAAAGTTATTAATTATAAATTAAGTTTAAAAAATGTCTTATTTTTGCTATACACACATTGACAAATATACGACTTTCTCCGCGAAGGGAGGTTCATCTTACCTCTCCCACCTGCCTAGGGACGCATAACTTCCCACGCGAAGCGAGATCCACTCCACCTCCTTTCCTTGTGTGGAAAGTTAAACGCACCTAGGCAGAGGGGAAAGTGGGATGGACCTTGCTTTGCGTGGAAAATCGTGTCCCTAGTCAGGAGAAGGGGAGGTGGACTTTTTTTTACGTAAAAAGTCGAACGCCTCTAAGCAGGAAGGATATAAGGTAGTTTTATATATAGTTTTATATATTTATTGTATATGATAGAAATAAAACATTATTTTTTGAACTTTATTTGTTAATAACTTTTGGATAAATTCCAGTGATCGCACCTAAAACTTTTTGAAGATCACTCACGGTCATGACTTTGACAACATATGTCAAGATCAAGGTCAGCACGATGTTTGTTAATCCAAATAATTGCTGATTTTTTAAACATTTTGTTGAAAAATCTAAATTTTAATGTGAAAAATTTATTCAAAATTATATTATGTATATGATGTATACATAATATAATTTTGAATAAATTTTATATTATGAAAACATCTATAGATTCGTGGCAGCAATAAATACGTATTTACATTTATACACGCGAAGCAAGAATGTTATTAATTATTGTTATGCCACAGTATAAGTAAAAATGGTACTAGTTTAACTCTATTAAAAATCGTATTAATAATTATCTGTTATGCATATAGGTCAAATGTCCGCAAATATTTTGAAAAACATTAAATTTTAAGTTATATATTACACTTACACTCATTTTAAAAAAGTTAATATGACAGTATGGAGTCAAGGAACCGATTAAAAAGGTCTGTGCTGCAGTCAAGCATTAAATTATGATTATATTGACTCTTAGTAAAAAATTTATGTACATTATAGATTTGCATTTGTCGTCACAAGTTACATTTAAGAAAGGAAACTACTTTTATAATGTTTTGTCTTACCTCCACAATGAATATAACAATCCAACGAAATGTGCAAACTATATCGTTCCATTGCAAAGGCCATACACCGACTATCCACATCATCATCCTTATTACTGAGAAGCCATAGTTCATGCCACTCTCCCAATTTGTCTTCATGCTTGGCAACATGCTAGTTTCGATCTCAACAAAATTGTTACGATGTCATACACGATATGTTGTTCAATTTATGCGATGTACGGCTTTGAGAGGAATTACTATAGACGAATGTTTCACTTGTTCATCGATTGGTTTTTATGGTGATAAGATAAGTAGTACTATAATTTCTGTGATCGTACATTTTTGTAACATATTTTTCCGTAATGTGCATAATTTTCTGCAATAATTTGGTTATTCCGTTCCATGTCATGCATATGATGCGCATGATGTATTATCAAGAGACACGGTAGTATCTCGCGCCAAGTGGACGCGCAGCGCGAGACACGCGTGTCTTTACGCGAGTCAGCGAGTTGCGGGCATCCGAGCATCGGAAATTCTCGGTTTTTTTAATAAAGGTTAGACCGATCGAGTTCTAAATATGAGCTCCATTGACAGTTTGGGTCCGAAATATATAATAAACGTTTATTTTACCTCTCTACGTGTCCCACGAACAGAGATATCGTGATGCGAAATCCGAAATGTCAAAATTTTATGTAAGATACGTTACCTCAAAAAGTCATCTCCTTTTCATATTTTCGACGGTAGATGGTACTCGTTTATTGCTGTCATTTACCGACTTATTTATCTATAGTTTTATTAGCACTGTATTATGTGTCGACATTTCACTGTATAGTTACTTTAATACTTTAATAAATTACTTTTAAATTAAAAGTGTATAAAAATATAAAACAGGCCGCTTGATGTGTGAACATCATTACGTATATATTCATGCCGTTTATAGCTTCGCGAATTTGGTAACGGCATGAATATATACGCAATGACGTTCACACGTTAAGCGGTCAAGCGGCCCGTTTTAAATTTTTATATGCTCTTTAGATTAAAATTACTCAGAAACTAAAGCCGCAATTAAAGATCTAAAAATACTTCTATTATATGTCGTCGGTATCTTTCGATTGCGATCAGTCCGAATAAAATTGGTGCAGCCAATACCAAGATCTGGAGATCATTTCCCAAAAAGGGACCATTTCAGCTTTTTAAATTTTTTTAGTCGTACGTGTAACATACATAAAGCGTTTTGTCCATTAAGCTGCTATTCACAATGCCTTCATAGAATTCTAATTTTATATATAAAATTAAAGTAAAATTAGCGACAAAAGTGAACCTTAACGCGTATTTGATTAATCATGATTCTTTATCTATAATAACTAGTGAAGAAGCAATTATTGAATATAATCTGCTAAACGACTACATAAATCATACGTTACATTTACCTTACATTTACCTTACATTTACGTTACATTTACGTTACGTTTATGTTACATTTACGTTACATTTACCTATTATTAATTGCGTTACATATTGTAAAAGCGTATAAGACTAGTATAGAAATAATGATTTCAGATTTGTAAGACGTGCGGTTTAAGTTAAATTTAAAAGTAGATTTAAAATTAAATTATAATCTTAATTGTAATTGTGATTATAATTTTAATGTTAATTATTGTTAATTAAACAGTAAACATTGTTTATTTCTTTTATGTAATATTTAATTATTATATTTTGAGGTCTAGCAGCGCGCCAAGTATTTTTACATAAAAAATTTTATTTTAATAAAATTTTCTCATTTTGTGATGCTTCGTCTTTAATT